TATCTCATGCAAGTAAGTGGGGTCACTAGCTCTAAGCCAAGCATCACATTAACAATTTACATATATTAATTGCTATCTCCAATTACTATCAAGATATCCAGAGGTAATCTTTTCTAGTTGGAAAGGCATTTGCTTACAGCCACTCACCAAATGGAAAACTGGCTCTCAACAACGATAAATTAATTCAAAGAGCCGGAGCCCCTTTCTTTAGCCATTAATCCTTGCATTAGAAACCAGCCTGGCTGCTGGTGGCTTAGAGCCTATCACACCGGTCAATAAGTGCAGGAAGAACAGCAGGTCAAACACTCTGCTTTGAGACCACGAGGCTGTCAATGCACTTCTGCTTCCACCCTTTTGTTTCTAAGTTGTCATGGGGTCTGATTTTGTTTTTAAACATCTTCCACCCTCGTTAGATGTTCAGCTGGACATCTGCATTCAATTATTTTATCTTTTGCCTCTATACTGCATACTTAGGCTCTTGGACTCACACTACACAAAGCTCCAGTCACATTCTCATGTTCTTTATGATCTGTGCAGCCCAAGCAATGCTGTTTTCCTGGGGATAAATTCTCTAGCTTCATATATCTTCAGTTACTAAAGGCATGCAAGCTGACTTGAGACTTGCCTGGAAGCACACTAGCTACATGAAGCAAGGTCCTGAATATTGTTCAAAAAACACTTTTAAATTCATCACTCTGGGACTTTCTAAAAAGTAACACATTCTGCTAAATGTACTTAAGCATTGTCCTGTGAGGAGGAAGCAAAGATGATCACCTCTCAGATCTTTAATTGCAAACAGAGCCTTGAAAAATAATCAGTAAAGTTACTGACTGCTATATCTAGAAAGAACTCTAGCTGTAATTCTTCCATGGCAGCATAGCTTCATTCTGTACTTCAAGAAAGCTGTTACTTTTCGGAATAAATTGAGTATTATCTGAATATCAGTCTTACTGGGAGAAGAGAGGAAGAAAGTTGTGGCTGTGAGAAAACCCCACTCTCCTGGCGAGTCTGCTTGTCCATTCTGTGTGTCAGTTTTGTAAGGATGATTCTCCATTCCCTTCTTTCTGCCAGCCATCTGATTTTTCTGAAAAGTCACCTAGACTTTTTCATCTAATTTATATTATATACATACAGGCAAACATCCAAATTAAACACTCCGTAGGAAACTCATACTCGCAGAAGTAACCTGCTTAACTTTACCAAGATTGAGGGCACACCAACTTCCATACTCCAGCCAAAGCCATCAGGACAATCCTGTCACAGACCCCTTACTGAGCACAATAAATCCATCTTCCACCTTTCCCAGAGATGCACCCCTCTAAAACACCTCAGTGAAGCTGTCTAGCAAAAAACCCCAAAAGGATTCGGAGGCTGTGACCCCAGCTATGACTCAGCCACCCCACTGTGTGCGCTGCCAAGGTGTCCTGGGAAGGTGATGCCTTCCTTCAGGGCTGCTCTTGGAAAGAGCACAGCTACAAGTACATGGGGACTGACTTAATGTACAACTTCTCTTAAGAGAAAGGAAGCAGAAGGACAATCCTCTCCAATTTTTCTGATCTTTCAGTATAAACCATTTAGCCACTCAGAAGCAAGCTCTATCAGCTTCCTCACTTCATGCCACTCTGATTTCCATGAGCCAAAACAAGACTTCACTCTTAACTGATATAAGAAACATTTCCATCCAGAAAATACCCTTAATATTGTCCTTTTGGCAAGTGATGAGAACAGATGTGATTCACAACTGGCTTCTATAAGCAACACAGTTATCAACAGCAGCAACTTCTGGACGATGTGAGGCAGTAAGGAGGTGAAAGTATTTATGCTACACAATTAAAATCTGTGTTAATGTTACAAGTGCTATCACATGGCGTATCTTCACAACAACTCCACGTCAGAGCAGTGCAATCCCCTTTAGCACTCCTCTTACAGCAACTGCTTTAGTTCGGACTTGGCTAACAGGTAGATGCTCCAAGGCTTCAGTTACCCCAATTTCCATGGAAAATTATCCTAATTTAAATTAATGGTCCTTAAAAAGGTATGGGCCTACACTAAACTTTACTTGTAGAGATTTATAAGTCCTCTTGCACATTTTGACAGCCTCCGAGTAGCCTATTTGCAAATAATGACTAACTGAATTCCAACCAGAGCATTCTGTGCCAAAGCACATTACCAGCACCACGCACAGCTTCTTTCAGGCAGGACTTCTGGAGTACCATGATTGACAAGGTCTCTAATGAACTCTAATTGAAGACTCGGCAGTTTGAAAAATGCAAAAACAGATGTGGTATAAGGGCAAACCACAAACTGTTTTGCTAATGAATGAAAAGTGTCTGGTCTGATAAGGGCCAGTGACCCAAAAATCCTCTTATTCCACCCACCCTTTGACTTCATGTTCAAGTTTCAACCCTTTCTCTTGTCAGCCCAACACCTGGGGGCAGTAACACACAGCCTTGAACGTATTCCATGTACTCCTGTTGGCACCACAATGCTCCTTCATTAAAAAGCAGCGGCTTTGACAGAGTAAAGAAGAATACATCAGCTTCTCACTATAGTAGTTTTGGCAACTTTTTTGCCTACAAAGATATTTCAAAGTCATCTTCACCTCCTTTCAATGGATCTTAAGCAAGCATAAAATTAGTAGCTACGGTCATGAGTCTGGAGATCAATTTCTGAAGAAAAACTACAGAAAGCTGAGCTACAAGCAGTGTTCAAGTAACAACCTATGCTTCACAATGAAAAAAAAACAAAACAAAACACGGGCCTCTACTTCATGTCTGCTCCAGCATGGCAGTGCAATGAAGCAAGGAAACCAAGCACAAAGGAAGCAGGAAGTCAGGGTGCCATCTTCTATAATTCTATCACAAATTTAATGAACCTGCTCAAGCTCGTCGTGCATTTGGAGTCTGACCTTTTACTTCAAGGAGGTTATTGTCTGGTAACAGCACAGGAAACACAATTAAAACATCAGCTGTAAAGATTTGGATGAAACTTTCCAAAAAAGGTCAAAAAACTGTTTGCCTGAGTCTGGCTTATGATGTTTTTGGAACTATTACAGGTGGCAGTGTATACACTGCTCTTGTCTAGCTAGAGTGTAGACTTCAGTCGCGCAGACATCAGGCTGAGAGTGGCTGCAGAAGAGGTCTACGGATGCCTCAACAACAAAGACATCATACTGGATATAACAAACTATTTCATCTCCACCCCAGAGAAGGGACTGCAATGACTAGTGTGGGAATCACACAGATCCTCCTTCTAATGAGCACCAAACTGGTCTGTTTCATGTTACACTTGCAATATGAAAAGAAGCCCAGTGAGCGCGTTGCTGATGGAAAGCATGTAGAGCACTAATGAGCACCATCCAAAAGTAATTCCAACATTTAGAGGTAACCAGCAATTTTCTGAGTCATTAAAAAAACCTCATACCAATTATACAGTCAAGCTTACCATAGCTCCCCAAACAACTCATTGTTTTGCATGGTCCTTGAAGCTGCTCAAACCCCGATATCCGTTCAGTCCCCCAAATTTCATCAGAAAACCAACCGTGTCACACCAGATCATATCAATGATTTACTTATTCTGTGTCCTACCTCCAGCAACAGCCACAAAAGCGATGCTTTAGGCTGCCAAGAGTTTTGGTGGCACAGATGTAGCCAATTACTAAATGGTTTCAAGAAAGAGAAATAATCCCTTCCCGCAGGGAATAATTTCTTTCCTGACGCACAGAGCTTTCTTACCTGTACCTTGGCTTATGTAACTAAAAGCAGTATTTAAGTAGAGCTTGATAAATGTAAGTCAGCCACAACTTTCTGACCATGGGACTCCTCCCAAGCTCACTAAGCCCAGCTCCAATACCACCTAGGAACAGACCTCCTCAACTAAACTTTTACCTGGCAAGCAGCTGCTCTTCTGCACACAAATATGACAAACAGCTCAGACATAATTTAAACAAATTAAGAGGTACTAGTTCAAATAGCTGCTATGTGCAGAACCATCAGGTTTTCAGGGTCTCTCGGATACGGTCTGTCAGCATCATGCGTAAAATTCAGACCTGCCACAGAAGAGGGATGTACTTCTTTCTATAGATAAGAGGAAAGGCTGAATTGAAAGGTCTAACGGCACTGCTCCAGCCTCCGTGTCCTCTGTCTGCAAAAATTTACAAGCTTAGGTCAGAAATAAGCCACATATTTAGGCTGGACAACAGAAACACACTTTCCCAGCTGCCCATACAGTAGGTTCTCTACAGATTAAATCCGTGCCACACACTGTTTTCAGGGACAGTTGACACTAGCTAGCCTACTCTAGCCCAATTGTGCATCACAGCACGTGCAACTAAATCCTATGACACCCGTAATGAGCACACGCATCCTTCTTAAGCTAGTTTTCTTCATTAGCAGCTCACAGAAGGAAAACAAATGTTTCAGGGGCAGGCAGAAAACAGGCATCAGGCACGAGATGGATGGCCAGGGCTTCTTCTGGCCACTCACTGGACTGCAGAATTCCTGACATAGCATAAATAACAAATAGATTTGGGTGTTCCCCAGAACCCCAGAGTTCTGACATATTCTGTCTCAGCAACGTCTTTGAAGCATGTGCCATAGCACACCCACCGCACCTACGGCACGAGTCCTGTGTCAAACTACAAACAGGCAGGTGCTTTATCAGGAGACAATACACACGTACAAGGGCATGCAGGGACCTTCTATGAACTGTTCCAAATTACTTGTACTAAACAGCAGCCTCCAAACTGGTGATGACTTCATTAAGAAAGCTGCTAATGACCCTTCATCCAAAAGCATGCAGTACCTGTTTGGCTCACCCAAAATAAGCATGCAGATTCCTGACATTATCTGGGCAATTGCTGTATTCTTCAACCTTGCCAAAAGACAAGGAGAGAAACAAATCACCACACCTCCGAGATGCTTCAGAAAATGTTCTTACATACCAGATCGTCATTACACCCAGGACTCAGCTGTTACTTGGTCACAGCATCAGATACTCACCAAGTCAATGAGGTCACTGAGATTCTTCTCTATCTGCTGCGGAGGCAGACGCCTCATCAAATCCAAGGCACAATCCAGCTGCTGGTCACTCTGCAGAAACAAGAGCATCCCTCCGTCATAACATGTACAGGTAATACATCATGTCCACACACACACACAAGAACGGCAGTGCTTGCTGACTCCTCTGATATGAAAGACAGTTTCTAATTCTTAGCAGCAGCATGTTTTGTATTAATATGAACAGATTTCAACAAAGTTCAGATCGCAGATTGTTAACTTAGTATTGCAAAAAGTGTTCTAGACTACGGATTTAAGAGCGTAGCTTTGACTGGTGTCGTGCCGCCAATCTAACATCAAGCTGTTGATGGAAAGGAGTCCAGTCCTTACCTCACCAATAACTGCTTCCAACATTTGTGCAAATATTTAATGCATTGTTTTTCCATGCTACGTCAATAATAATCTGGGTTAGGCAACTGAAAATTGCAGTTTTAACACTTCCTCATTTGTATCATGCCATTCAGCTTGAGATAACTAGTATCCAAGACAAATTCTGTTCCAACACACAGCACTCTCCCCCTCCATCAGCTTCATCAAAAAAACCAGAATGAAATGTGCACACAAAGTATGATTCATTATTTCTTTCTTGCTACAAAACACACACCAAAAGCTGCCTGCATCTGAGAAATCAGACTTTCATTATTTTGAGATCACAGCAACATACTCCAAAGGGCTTATTGCAGCTGGTCTCACATCCAATTCTGACACAAAAAACCCCTTGAACTTCACTTCAGAGACAGAAAATGTGCAACAAACGCACAGACGCTTGATGAGCTGAACCATGTTCTTGATATAACCTTTAGCTCTCCTTCTCCCCAACAGACAGAAGCAGAGACTCTCCTGCAAGCCTAACAGTACCCCAGATCTGCACGAGCTACTTTGAGCAGCAGGCCACCAGGCAGCTGAAGCATCGCCAGTTTGCTTTCACTGCTTCTTTCCTTCCCCTTTTGTCTTTGCAATTTCTAGCCACCCATATACAACAAGCTTGGCTTTGATTTCTCCTTTCTGTGTTCTGCCAAGCTCCAAAAGTTTTATTTAAGCAAGGCTTCAAAATTAAAGCAGCTACATTATCCCATTGTTCAAGCAGCAGCTCCCAGGTCAGGGAGAAACAGGAAGCAAAGTTTCCTGCAATTAAGCTATACCCTAGCAAATGAGGAAAGAGGGGAGCTCTCTTTTTAGCAGACACCCATCATGAAAGTTGTTCTTAAAAGGTGCTACCCATTCACTATCAAAAGATAAATATTTTACAGTCAGCAACTCAGCCTGGTCTGGGGAGATTATGTATTTCTCATACAGTTTATGTTACAGGACATCATCTTTGCAAACTACTCCAGCTCTACTGACAGTTAGGCACCAACCGCCATGTATCTGCAATCATCTCCTGAAGATCGGACCTTCAGCCTGGAAAGCAGGATGCACGGACACCAAGCACAGGAGTTTGTGACAGTCACCCGTTGCCATTGAAGGAGGACACATTCAAGTAACATACATAAACCTCCTCGTGCTCTTTACTTGGCTAACAAGACAAGCAAATCCTTGGCTGAAATGAGTCTACAGTGAAGTTATTTATCTTGGAAAGCAATCACAAATCAATTGCTGAACAGACTATCATCACATTCATGCACAAAAGCGATGGCCAAGATTTTCAAAACTTTCTACTTCTCTTCCTTAGATGTTCAGGGGAAGTGAAAACTACTCACTTTTTGCTACCAACCTTTCAGGCCCCAGAGGAAGACAGTATTTAGACAGCCTACGCCTGCCCAGCTCCAGCAGCCAAGCTCAGGTAGGGGATCTTTCTTACCAAGTATTGTCTTTACCTCCCACTATCTCTCATGTCGAGGAAGGAAAGCTGGCACACGGTCACAAGGTCACACTCCTCACTTTAGGATCGTGGGAACACTTATGGAAGTGCTCCGTCCTCCTCCACCAGCTATAATTGTTTAATACACAAAAAAGCCCAGGGAAAGATGATGTTAAAAACCATCACTAAAGCTGCAACCCCAGAGTAAGTGTTTTACAATGCAACAATTTTTAAATACTACACTGAATGAAGAAGTATCTGCATTTGCACTGTTTTATGGATTAACCAAAAGAACTTGAACTGACCATTTTTATAACAACATATTCAATAACAACTGCAAAAAGACATGAACAAGTCTGTTTAAGGTAAAGATTCTCAAAGGAGTTCAGACATGGCTGGCATACATGGCTGTGTGCAATGGAAAAACAAAAACATACTAACAGTATATTTTTCTTGTACCGAAGAGGTAAAGGCAAGGCTGAGCAGCAGGACTCTTCAGTTTTCCTGCAGAGCATTTAAATAATTAAGCGGCTTGCCAGAAGATCTCTTAAAGCACTGAAATAAAGACGGGTTCTGCTGTATTTCTGTCCCTGAATCTGTGGTTATACAGTCACTTTAATCCAGCATAAATCCATGCTGGCACAGTCCAAAAGGCAATACAAAGCACAGAGATTACAAAGCATAGTGGTACCTCGTGGTATTGGATACATCTGATACGTCCTATTTCAGGACTGAACAAATACTCTATCAGTATCTTTTGTTTCTGGTTCTTTCATTGTAGGTGAGGTTTTCAAAACTAGGCCTGTGGTCAGCTACATCCTCTGGTGCCAGACCTCCGCCCCAGCTGGAGCATCTAGAGTAGCTGTAGGTACTGACATACGAAGAGACAGGAACCACATGCAAGGTACCAAAACCAGCAGCACACGGTTCCCTGACTTTATTGAAGAGTGAACACTTCCAGGGAACTACTACTACTGCTATTTTGAGAGTGGCACATTATTAGTGGCACTTAAAAATCCCAAAAAGCCTTCATACCACCAGTGTAAGAGGAAGGTGTTCTTTGGAAACTTGGGACATGTGTCACCTACCTCACTACAGCTGACCCAGCCTACTTCTCTTAACTTCCCCTGCTCTGGATTTCCATTTGCTTAATTCTCTTGTAACACTGCATACTGAAGACACGGCTGCTTAACAGATCTCCAGACAAAACATATCTACAGAATTCTTGCCTTTAGACACGAAGAGGCTTATAAACCCCTGCTCACTGAGAAGGTGATTAGACAGGCTGTGTCTCAGTCTGGGCTGCTCTCGAAGCCAAGCTCTTTGAGGTTGCAGGACTTAATGAGCTTAGTGTTTACTTGATATGAGGCCGTTTTCCACCATTCCTCTGTTTCCTCCAGCACAGAGCTCCTGTGGAGTAGGGATTTCAGACAGAAACTCTAAATGAAGTTTTATTACAGCTCAAGTCACTCAAGGATTTAGAGATCATAGCAATCTCAAAGACTGAAAATATTAGCTTAGATGAAAGCTCCTTCATAAGTTTCCTCTAAAGTTGTTTGGCTATCTAGAATCTCCACTTAAGCATCTGCTCTAGCATTCCCATGGTACTACCCCAGGGGAAAATGTTATGAATATGTCTACAGGAGCAGTTGTGTTTGTTTAGCTTCCTTTGCCTGCATCTGCTCTCTGCTTCAGTCTCTCCGCTGTAATTCGTGTATTTCTAAAAGAGAAATCCTCTCAGAACAGCCTCAGGTCTCTGGTCATCTTGGCACTCTGTGTTGAGGCTCAAATTAAAACAGATGACACTGAAAAGTTGTACAGAGTTGTATAAATGTGTAGTTGTACAGAGGCACAGTTGTATACTTTAATTCCATCCCTACGGTAAGCAATACTGTTCAAAGGCTGAGTATGGGCAGATGTCATTCAATGCAGAACACACAAACAAGAAACCCCAAGAAGTTACTATAGGTTTTGTTCAGGCATTTTTGATACGGTGTGTTTTTAGATTGTGTAGTAAAACAATGTGTTTCCATTTTTAACACCCGAAACAAGGGCGTGCTATGGTCACTGTCATTCATTTTAAGAGCAAGGGACTCTTCCGACCTTGTATGTGTATGCAGCTACTATGAAAGAGGATGCAAATTGCAAAAACTGAAACAGGCAAAATGCTGAACTTCCTTTTGACTCCCACTCCTCACGTCCTCAAAAGCACAGAGCTCCTTAGGATGAGGGCAGACAGGGCACAGGAATAGCTGGCATTTGTTAATGGTCCCCAGCCCAGGATACTGGACACTGCTAACACCAGGCAACAGGAGCTGACCCAAGACAGTACAAACCTGCAAGTAAACTCCTGCAGCTGTTACAGTTCATGGCACCCAAATAGGCTCTGCCAGACTAAGGTAATAAAACCGTATCACGTTTGCATTAGGTTTCGCACAGAATTGTCACCTGATAAATGAGGTTATTATAAGCCAAGATGCATACCCAAAGCCTCTTGAAGATCTGGTGCTGGGGTGCATCATCTTGATGCTGGGGTGCATCAAGAAGAGTGTGGCCAGCAGGACAAGGGAGGTTCTCCTTCCCCTCTACACTGCCCTGGTGAGGCCTCATCTGGAGCACTGTGTCCAGTTCTGGGCTCCCCAGTTCAAGAAGGATGAAGAGCTACTGGAGAGAGTCCAGCGGAGGGCTACAAGGATGGTGAGGGGACTGGAGCATCTCCCCTACGAGGAGAGGTTGAGGGAACTGGGCTTGTTCAGCCTGAAGAAGAGAAGGCTGCGAGGGGACCTTATAAATGCCTACAAATATCTGAAGGGTGGGTGTCAGGAGGATGAGGCCAAGCTCTTTTCAGTGGTGCCCAGTGACAGGACAAGGGGCAATGGGCACAAACTGAAGCACAGGAAGTTCCGTCTGAACATGAGGAAGAACTTCTTCCCTCTGAGGGTGACGGAGCACTGGAACAGGCTGCCCAGGGAGGTTGTGGAGTCTCCTTCTCTGGAGATATTCAAGACCCACCTGGACAAGGTCCTCT